ATTGCCATTGAATTTATTTTGCGGTATGAGATATACTTTATAAGAAAAAAGATTTAGCATCAAAAACAACTGGAAAAGAATTATGGAAAGAGTTTTAAAAAAATTATGGAAGAGCTAAATGGAAAATGAATAATCTTGCTCCAACTTTGATGATGAAAATGAAAATAAAGAATGCTGGTATAAGAAAGTGGAAATCAGCTTTGTGGAAATGTAATTTAATGAGGACTTTGGTATTATTATATTAACGGTTCGTACAATTGTCAAGCTGTTTAGAAAATCACCTCTTAAAAATGATACCCTTCAAAAAATTTGTACATCAGATTTAGAAAAATAGCTTAAGCTCCATACCATATGCATATTCTGGATACTAAAAAAAAAATAGAATTCTCTAATCAGTATGTTAAAACGATTTTTGGAATTAAAAAATGTTATTGAAAAAGCTCTTGTAGATATATTCAGAACAGATTTGATTTTTTCAGAAGAAGAAATAAAAAAGATTTCTGATATTGTTCAATCTCTTCATGTTGCAAAGTTAAGTGTTATGGCGTTGTTCAATCTCTTCATGTTGCAAAGTTAAGTGTTATGGCATTGGGAAAAGGAGACTGTGATCTAATAAAATCTGAATTTTTTTTTTTTTTTACTAAAAAATCATTGAGATCATTTTTCAAAAATTATTAAATGTAGTTTCTGGAAGAATTAATCATAGAAGAAATCATGTGCTGTTTGCATAATGCAGATGACTTTAAATCAGATTCAGAGTTACCAGGTAATCTTTAAAAATACCCAAATTAAAATGAAATTGCTAAATTAGCTCGAAATGTTTTAAAACGTAAGAGCTCACTTGTAAAAATTATTCTAAATTTATTGGTTAATCGAACAATTTTTCGAAAGGTAATCGTTAATCGATTAATTTGAAAAACAAGTTGGTCTGCCACCCCTAATCATCACTCATACTTAGGTAGATTTATACAATGTTTTATGAAAGCCCATGAAGCCACTATTACAGCTCTTATTATAGGTATAGCAGCGTAAGGAGTCCACCCATATCTTTTTATTATGCAATTAATTGTATCAGTCAATGTTTCTTTAACTCTGTTAAAAGTACTCAAAATACAATCATTAGCACTAATCTTAGATGCTGATGTACCCAAAGCTTCTTTTCAGCATTTATAAAAACACGTTCTTTAACTTAATTTCAATATTTAACTTAACTATCATGAAACAGCCTTTAATTTAATTATTTTCCAAGTCCGTAATATCATCTTGTAAAATGGGTAACAAAATAAATGGTATCCTGAAACATTTGGGTCAGTACTACTCTGCAGACCATCACAAATTCATCACAAATTCAACAAAAATGTTAAGCTTTGAAATATTAGTCAGCTATTCATAATCTTCCGTTGATTTAAATAAATCTGCTTTTGCTTTATTTAATAACTTCTTTTGTGTTGCAATTTTTGATGCTCTAGCCTCAGTAACTGAATTTAAATTTTGATACTTTTTTGTTAGCATTTTCTAATATTTCATTTCCTTCATATGCTTCATTTTGTACTATGTTTAGCCTTCTTTCAAAATCCGCAGATACATCTTTGATCATAGCACCAGTATTTTTTTCTTCTTCCAAAAAGTTATTATTACTTTTCCCATTCCACTTCAGCTAAATTTTTTGTAAATGTTTTTAAGCTCAGTTAACCTTGTTGAGTATTTTACTTCAACTTTTTCCAAATCACATACTTAACTTGGTCTGAAAGTATATTCTTTTTAACCTCTGTATCTGCTAGTTTTCTTTAAGAGATCTCATTTCTTTGTTTTTCAACCTTAACGTCTGTTTCTTTGCTAATAATTTTCAAATTTATAGATACATTTTCTAAATCTTTTGGTGTAACTTTTCGACCATACATTTTTAAAATTATCAATAAAAAGTTTTTTAACGCTTTAAAATCATTCATTACCTTTGCTATTATAATTGGTTTATTTCCTGTAAAATAGGTTCCTACAGCATTAAAATTTTCAGTTGATAAACCTGATGGTTATTTCCATTGTGTTTCATTCTGCCATGTTATTTGAACAGTTCTGGGTGCGCTCTTTTATTCATATTGAAAATAAATATCACCAAAGTTGTTTTCAAAAAATACAATTTTATAATTAAAAATATTATTAGATTATGTACTAAATCTGGCTTTGCTTGACTTTAAATTGTAAACTACCATCCAGCAAGCAGGCATTACGTTGACCAACGTCGGAAGCCATGGGCAATTTTTTAATTTACGCGCGAACGTCGATGCTATTGTCGGAATACAACTGATTTTAAAATGCAATTTTTTTATTAGAGAATTTTATTGCTATAAATTCATATTTGAATTAAAATTAGTATATAGATCATAACTCATATATTCTTTAATAAATGTATATTTAATACATATTATTTAACTTGTTTTGAAAATCTTCCTATGCTAGGTAATAATAATCAATATGACGATGATCTTAATGAACATTATTTTACATCAGACTCAGACTTTTTTTTCAGTTTTATTTTATTAGTACTAATATTTGTATAAAGGAATTTCGATACAAGTAAACTCTTATGTTTGCAGTAAAATACTTATACAATTGTTTAATAATTTTCTGTTTAGATATGATTTGAAAAACTGAAGAGAATAATAGTCACAATGTTTATGCAGGTAATACACCATTTTGATTTTATCATTTTTTACATCGATTTTATATAGTATTATGTACATATTTTTTACAGATTTTTTAAATTCCTTATAGTTGTATATCTCTTATAGATGTATTTCTTATGGTTTAAGTTGCTCAAAAGAATTTCACTGATTTGTGCACTAACTTTAATTTCTGTTATATACATACGTCAAACGAAAGATGTAATTTTTGAGATTTCTGTCAAATCGTATAATAAGTAGCGTTTGAACGTTTGAAGTTCCTTTTCAGCAAATTAAAGACTTAAGATTCGTATGGAAGCTAAGCAGTCGAAAAAAAACATTTTTATTTTTGAATATGTGTATAATTTGTACGAATATTTTAATGTCATTATATGGATTATTACAACAAATATTGATTTTCTGTGTTATTATCAAATTGCTTCAAGTTGTTTCATAAGTCAGCATAAAAACCAATTTTCTTTTATCACAAAAAAAATTTATTAAAACTTATTTGGAGAAAAATAATCAATGTAATAGTTTTAATGAATACTACGTTAGAAATAGTAGGCACGTGCTTATCTTTTAAATAAAAATTTTAAAGATTCTTTTATATAATAATATTATGTTGAACCAACTTTAGAATGCGACGCTCGCCCAACGTTGGAGGCCAACGTCAACCCAATGGTTGACGTTGGGTTGACGTTAGCTTCCAAATCCAACGGTTGACTTTAGATTTGGAAGTTGGCTGCGACATCGCGCCGACTTCCGAATCCATGTTGTGGCGACGTCAGATGCCAACCATCGGCCAACGAATTTTTTGACGTTGATCCGACGTTGGGTCAACGTCTGTGTGCTATCTGGGTAGTGAAACTGTTTTTATATTGATTGACCTTCCATTAAATTAACTTTGTAATTTGAACAAAAAAAAAAAAAACTATTTAGTTAACAAATGTTTATCAACACCTTGAGGTAAACTTTTTAGGTTTAAATGTTGTATTTCTAGTAAAATAAAATTTCATTAAAATAATTTTACTTTAAAGCAAAATAAATTATTTTCATATGTTTCTCTTATTTATCATACTTGTAAAAGATAAAATTTCAATTTCATGGAGCCGTGGAAGAAACTGGGTTTCAATAAGCAGGCGGCAATTTTCATTAAAAGGTTTTAATATTTGATTTCGAATGATGACAACATAGGCAAGCACTTCCTATGTTGAAATGATTTAATTTATTGTGTTCTTAAAAACTAATAAATATTAGCCAAAACAATACACAGTAACATTTAACTTAACGAAAACATTACATTTTCTACTTTGCTTTACAATAACGATATGAACTTATTATGTTTTGTTAATCCTGTATCAAATCTAATTAAATCTGGTACTTCATTTGATGACTGGAGTCGATGATAAGCATCTAAATTTTTAATCAATTTAATAACAAATCTAAATATACCTTCAATCCTTTTATTAGGTAGTTTATTCATGTGTTCCGACTTAATATATAATATTTTTTAGAATATTTTTTTCAATTATTGTAAATCATTAGATTCATTTAAGTTATAAATAATCTAGATTGACAATAACAAAACCAACTGACGAAAAAAGGAAGAATATAAACAACATTATCTCTAATATCAGTTGTATAGCTGATAGTATTACACAGGGCTGTTGAAAAGAAATGAAAAAATGAAGATATGTGCCCCAGGCGCCAAAATATTAGAGGCGTCGAAAAACGATAGTGTTGATTCAAGCGCTACCACATATTTAAAAGTATATATTTTTGAGTGTTTTTTCAAGTGCCTATACATTGTTAAAATTTTTACTTGTTGCAATTTGGTAACAAAATTAAAGGACCAGAATTATTTGGTAAAGTTGGATTTAATGAATTGCCACAGCGCCAAATTAAAGGTTCAGGATGAAAATCAAAAATGCGTGTACTTGTTTTGCCTGAAATAGACTGCTTTCCAAGTAGATTGAATATGCCAGCTGTATGAGGCAGAGATCAATATTAGTGATTCGTGGGTACCTCAAGGACTATACGAGTTGTGTAGAACAATTTTACGCAGGAAACAAAAGGGGAAAGAAGTTGTCCTCCTTCCTTTGGTTACTTTCAATTCAATAAAATTGAGACCTGAAACAAGAGGCATGATGTGTTATTGTCTAATCTGCCTAACTGGTCGTTCACAGCTGCAAGAAATATATCCTTTTAAAAATCAAACCACTATTGAGAAAGAACTAAATTTATGTAAAGCACATGCCTCTACCCTATAAGAAAAGATTTGCCTCGCCAATACTCTCAAATAAAACTCAGGGAAAGTCTTAAATCGAATAAGCAGCAATGGATGCCAGAGCAGCCAAACAAATTGCATTTCGAATTATGTCCAGTAAAGTATTATCCCTTGAGCGAACTATTCAACTAGCTAAAGCATCTAGCGTGCCTCCATTTACAATTACCCCAGGTAAATATTTATACTTAAATAATTTTTACATAAACATTCAAAAAAAATCTTTGAAAAAAGAGACAAGATATTTTTAACAAATTTTTAATTACTTAACAACAAATAATTTAAAATTTTTAACAAACTTTCTGAGCAAAGTTTAATATAATTATAAAACATGTATGTTTTGGCTTCAGGTCAAAGTAATGTCCAGTCACTATCAATCGCTCCAATATTGACCACTTTAGCTCTTGTCAATGTGCAGTTAATTACAGGACTATCAAACAACGAATTAAAGAAACTAGTCAGAACTGTAAACCAAACATCAAGCCGCAAGATGGAAGAGCCAGATTTTTATAAGAATTTCTTAAGAGCATTAATTAATTTCTTAAACCTACACTAAATTAAAAAATACCGACGGAAAATTAAAAGATTTGCCAGAAACTCACTTCAACAATCTACAAATCTGGTCACTAATTAATGCAAATTTTAAGTTTTTTGAATTTAAACCAACTTTGGCTTTCAAAATAAAAATTGTAAATATAGTTTGTGGTCTTTAAACTTATTCAAGTATGTACTCTTATACATATTTGACGTCAAATCCAAGTGTCTTGCCAAACCTGGAAACTTGCGAAAGCTGAGCTCAATCAAATCGACCCTTAAATCTTTCCAGCAATCTCTGCGGGGTTGTAACTCGTGCAAAGTTATTTGGCAATGTCATTTGAAAGCCATTCAATGACGTTCAAAGATTTTCACTAGTCGCAAAGAATCCTCCTAGAGGCTCTATAGTGAACAAACTGTCGAAACTGCTCAGACTAGACAAGGGAGGAGATTATTTCATCACATATATTTGAAAACATAAAGTATTGTAAATGTTCATATAAATTTAAATTTAAAGGCTAAAAGGTTTAAAATGAGAAAAACGATCCACAAAGTTAGTTAAAGAAGTTGCTTTTTTCTTGAGGCGATAAAAACGTTGTAATTTTCTTTTTTAATGCTGTCTTTAGCATTATTACCAGAGTAACTGTGAATAAAGAAGAAGTATGTTTGTGTCAAACTTTTCTTATTGACATAAACTCGAGCTTTACACAGACAAATTTTATCAATAAAGATTTAAAGCATGTTTGGGGGTATATTTTTTTTTAAAAAGAATTAAAAAAATCCATTTTGCTTTGTCGGTATTTAAGGTTAAGTTATTAAATTTGAACCAGTGGGGTATATGTTAAAGCTTGTCATTCGCGGTGGTAAAAAGTTCGTTAAGAGTATTTAGATAATTATTATTCTAAGAAAGAAAACAATTAAGTAAGTATAAAAATAAACGTTATCACTTTCATCATTCTAATCTCAGCATTTTTTGATGATACAACAGAAAAGGAAACAATCGAATCCTAAAAATTTGTTTAAGCTTCATTAAACTTATATAAAACTTTTATCTTATCTAATAAAATTTTTTCTTACTATATGTCTAGCTACCATATTGTTTCAAGAAGCAAACTCATCTATGCAAATCAATTAAAATTATTTAATGCAAAAATAATTGAGATGATACGTTTTATAGCAAAATTAAATGTTTACCAGTGAGATTATTTAATGTTTTCTCAAAAGTGAAGATTATTCTAAAACGTTTTTAAAGCGATTCCTACGGTTTCCTCTAAGATGGGTGATCTACAAATAATAGGCACTTCATAGAGAATCAGTAGGATAAAATCCATAGTAGAGAATCAGTAGGATAAAATCCATAGTAGAGAATCAGTAAGATAAAATCCATAGTAGAGAATCAGTAAGACAAAATCTATTTAAATGTAAACCACGCTTAATGATTAAAATTAGTTGTCATTTAAAAATCAAATCTATTGTAAAACTTGTAGGTTTTTGCAAGAGCATTACGCAACCTACTATTTATAGTAACGCGTGAATGCGAAAACTGTTTTTTTGAATAATTAAGTTGCAATTTTCTTCTCAATCATTTAACTTTTAAGAATTCTTCGTTAAAGAATAAATTTAACTAAAGTGTCGTTTATTTGTCAATGATGATCAATTTTATTAATTATTAATTAATAATTTTATTAATCAAATGATGACCATAATTAGTGTTAATAATCAATTTGATCAATTGAATCAAAAATGATCTTTATACATAAAAATAACATAATGTATAATAATTAAATTTCAAATAATTGAATTATATCAAAACTAAAGCTATTTCTTAATATAATTAAATATTAGAGTAATAGAGTGTTAAATTATTTAAATTTAAATTAAATTTGCATAAATTAATTTAATACAATTTATATATTAATTAAATGATGTTTAAAATAAGTGTTTGCAACAACCCAAAAAAGGTAAAAGTTTATTAGTAAAAATCAGAATAAAGAAAAACATTTTCGCTTATAAACTGTTTTATTGTATAAGGAATTAATAAATAAAAAAAGTGTAAAAAATTCCTCAATGGCTACATACAGAGTTAAAACCCCTTTACGGCACTTAAAAACTAAGATCTTGAAAAATGCTTTTAAACATTGTTTTTAAACGTTGTTTTAGTTTAGTTGGAGTATAAAAAGAAAGATAAAAATTAAATTTTGAACTATATTTTTTGGTGTAAAACCGAGATATTTTTGTGTGAATTAAAAAAACGATGTTTTCAAACAAGTTTTTGCTTCGAAGTTTTTCTCATGACGAGAAAGAGAAAGAGAATAGAGTCGCCGAACTTATCTCGATTCCTTTATTATATCAACAAAATGCAAAGAAGTCATCTTGGTCATCACTGCGCACTATTATGAAAGGCAAAATTTTTTTAAAAAACTTTGAAAACGTAAAAAAAAGATCCTCTGCAAATGATATTTCTGAGGAGACATTATTCAATGGATCAGTGGTTACAAATTATAAACCCACGATGCGTAATTCATCGCGAAGATATACAGCCGAAAGTTTTGAAGATATAATTTTTATTTCAATACTCCAAAACGATTACAACGCTTTACTAAGAGCTTTAAAAACAAATAACGTAAACATAAACTACATGAGACCTCCAGGGTTAACACCATTGCATCAAGCATGCGTAGTTGGAAATCTTCAAATGGTTGAAACTTTAATTTTTCATGGTGCCGATGCAAAATTAAGGACATGGTCTAACCTAACACCACTTTTAATAGCAAACATGTTCGGACATTTTGATGTTGCTTTATTTCTAATAAATCAAGGAGCAAATACCAAAGACATTCAAGATGGAGTTGCTTTTGATTCAAAATTAGCGTCATCTGTTTTGATAAGCTCAAAAGAAAATGACGAGGAAGATACTCAAGTAGTGGGATGATCAAGCAGCATATTCTAAGTTTAACTGAAAAGAAATTGTAAAAAGCCATTTTATTATTGATATTTTTTTTATTACTCTTCTTTAACTTATTTAAAAAAAATTTTTTTATTATTTTTATTATTTTGTATTTTTCTCAAATAAATTCGTAAATTCTTTAGAATTCTAATCTTACTTTAAATTTCTACGTTTTTGCTATAACTATCTGTAATTATAAGTATTTCTTGCCATAATTATTTTTAAAAATATTTTTATGAACAATTATATATGTAACCTGTTTTGAAATAAAATTTAATATTTTAATGTTTAATATATTACGTTTAACTTTTAATATATCAAAAATACAAATTTAGTTTACAAACAATTGCAGACTTTTGTAAAACAGACGCTTGTTTCTATAGTAACACAGCAGTTATCCAAGCTTAATATTGTTTGAACTGTATGAAAATAAACGGTTTGATACTCAGTTGTTTATAATTCTGTCTAATTAGACCTCTCAAGGTTTAGCTTCAGTAAATTGAATAAACGATTTAAAAATATTATTTTTTTAACACTTAACTGATTTACTAACCTAGACGTGCAAACAAACTTAATAAGCCAAGTTCATCAGTTGCAATCAGTGCTGAGTAAAAATAAATCTTTTTGAAAAGTGTAATTACAAATGCTGTTTCGCAAATACATTTATGCTAATAGAATGTTAATGAATAAAATAGTTTCTGTAAATTCATTTAAATTTTATAAATTTAACTAAAATTTAAAGTAGTAAACTTCAAAATTTGTTTTTTAGTATAAAAATTTGTTCTTTCTACCAACAAATTAAAAATAATACCAATTTTTTTATGTATTGAAATTTTAACTATTATAACAACATTAACATAAAAATAATTTTTAATGAGAAAATGGCTACTTTAAATTCTTTGTACCAAACAAGATAACCCTTTACAGGTCAGCATTAGCAAAAAATGGTAGAAAAAATTTTATTTTTATTTTAAAGGATCTATTTGGTGTATGGAGTAATAATCAATAATTTTTTTTATGCTGACATAAGCAGTTTTTGAGATATTTTTTGTTGCCATATGGCAACTTTGACCGGTTAGGGTATAAAATCAAATTATTACTTTTAGTTAGTAAACAATAATAATCAGTCTTCTTGAAAAAATAAGTCATAATTAGTTTTCTTCAAAAGTTCCTACTTTCTATGAAACTGATAAAAACAATTTCTTTCATTGCTTAAACATAAAAAAACTTTGCATTTTAGGCAAGACATACGAACGGTTTTCTTGCACAATCGACATTTGTTTTTGTTAATTTGAGGATTTGGCCAGTGTCCAAACTCATCATATCGTATATCATTTTGGGGCGTTGGTACCTGAACTTTGCGACCTCGTGTTTCGGTTAAATCAGAATTAGTTGATAGTTTTTTTATTGGTCGGCCAATAGGTCTATCAACTCGTTTACTTTTCATTATTAAAGCGTTAGCAATTTCACTGCTGAATTGAAGGAGGTTAAGTTGGCTACGCTGAGAAATATTCAACTGGTTACCATGTCTTCTATACAGCAGCCAAGCATTTATCTTACATATATCCATGCAATGAACAAGCACACGTAAGTACCATCTTTTTGTTTTCATGGGTATTCGATATAAGCTAATAAGCATGTCAGACAAGTCTACACATCCCATTCCAGTATTGTATTCTTTTACAACTTGCGGGCAAGGTACTTGAATATGTTTCCTATTTTTTTGATCCCATCGTTTAACATTACCAGATGTATTAGCTGAACAATATGTTGAGGTCATATGAACACATTTGTTATCAAACCATCTTAGAAGCAACAGACCAGAGTTTGCATCAACCTTATATGAAAAAGACCCCCGACACTTTGCTATTCGATTTGTACGAATAGTTGCTGTTGTCAGTATGCCTATTTCTTTTAGTTTGAGACAAAGAGAAAGAGTACAGAACCAGTTGTCAAAACACAACTTAAAGTTTAAATTTTTTGGTATTCGTTCAGCCAATCTTAAAACAACATTCTCTGCAGAACAATCTTCTCTTCCGCTGCTTTTTGCGCCACAATACAAAAAAAAATCATAGATGATTCCACTTGAGCCAGATCGAACAAACATTTTAAACCCCCATTTGTGAGGCTTTTTCGGATTATATTGGCGAATACCACTATGTTTTGTTTTCGCAGGTATTATTTGCTCATCGATAGAATGCACTGGTTCTGGTTCTATTTTGTGACAATTATCCCGCACCATCTCTAATATAGGTCTAATTTTGAAAAGTTTATCATTTTTATTATCTGCTTCATCTTTTTTTGAATTGTCAACTACATGAATATATCTTCTTAACGCTTTATACCTATTAATTGGCATAACATCAGCAATTGTATTAATTCTGATTTCATTCATCCAGTACATAGGGTAGCTTGGCAGCTTTAAAATACCCATTAACATTTGCATTCCCATAAACTGATCCATTTAGTTGGGTACTATAAAGATTTGTTTGTTCTACAATCAGTTCTGTTATTTTTTTTGTCCAGAACTGGGAATAATAATCAAGAGGTGTAAGTTCATTAAAATTATCCGGGGCTAATGTGAAATTTTCTCCCATAAATTCCGAATCGATTAATTGCGGTTCAGTAGATCGCCACCGAAACTCGTGTGGTTTTTTTCTTTTTCTTACTGACTCAAAATTTGATATATTTTGATCTTCACCTCCACAGATTTCTTCGTTATCGGTTATCTCTTCTTCTTCATCACAATCAATTTTAGGTTGGCCAACTTCGTTTTCATCATCCGAGGATTCAGAAAGTTCTGATAATTCTGAATCAGAACCAGGCTCAGGAACAAAGTTTACAACATCCTGAATTGTGTATCGTGTTTTTTGATAGTGTTGTCTTTCCATCATAACAATTTTAGTGGTTAGTTTTTTTTTTTAATTAAATTATTTATACTCTAAAAATATTAAATTATCTACTCGCACTACATATATGTATATATAAACATATATATATATATATATATATATATATATATATATATATATATATATATATATATATATATATATATATATATATATATATATATACATATATATATACATATATATATATATATATATATATATATATATATATATATATATATATATATATATATATATATATATATATATATATATATATATATATATATATAATATATATATATATATATATATATATATATATATATATATATATATATATATATATATATATGTATATATATATATATATATATATATATATATATATATATATATATATATATATATAAAACTTCACTTATAAAAGAAAACTTTGGAAACATAAGAAATAAAAATTTTAATATCTACTTGGGAGATATAGCGAAATATCTAAAATAAGACTTTATTCAAAATATGTAGCGAAATATCTAAAATAAGACTTTATTCAAAATATGTCCATTAAAGGACACAGTTGCCGTATGGCAACAAAATATTTGTTATGAAGTAATAAATCATGCAGTCAAAGCTTATACAAAACAAATGATGTAAAAATACAGAACAACTTCTGGTAATTAACATTCACTACAAATACAACAATAAACAAAGTGTTTTGACACATCTTGATGGCCTGAAACTGATACATATTTTATTCCAAAAAATGTAGTAACAATCAAGGCAATGATTCTCATACAAAAATGCCGCTAAACTGCAATCTTTGTTTACTATTTGCATTAGCATAGTCTAAATACCGTATTAAACCAAGAAAATCCGGGCCATATAAAAAATTATACGTTTTAAGTAACATTAAACTATTTGTTGCCATACGGCAACCCTGACCTGTAAAGGGATAATTACGCTTTTCTTAAGCTATTTTGCTTAATCATTGTGTTTCAAACGTATCAATTGCATACTTGAAGTGTTAATGATATGCAATTTCTCAGGCCTGCTCAGCATATACACCAAGCTTAAACCGACTATGATGAAGAAATGGAACAAGATAACACACCAAAATGTGAACTTTTCAGCTAATAATTAATTCAAAATTAAACTTCTACAATAGATAAAGCTTTAGATTTTCAAAAAAAGTTTTTAAAATTTAAAACTGATTCAGCAATAGACTCTGCTAAAACCTTTTTTTTAATAATTCAAAGTTTTTTAAGTGTTGTTTTTATTAAACGTTGTTTTAATTATAAGTGTTTTAGAAACATTGTATTTGGTTGCATAGAGGCTGCAAGATTAACTTCTAGATCATCTAATTTTTCTAAAAGTCTCATTGAAATGTTACTGAAATGAAAAGTTGTAACTCTGGATGAAGTATATATTTCACTAAAGTTTCTAAAACTTTAACGAAATATACGAGGAGAAATACAATTTTTAAATTCATTCATAACATTTTCTCTTGCATCATTCTGCAACAAAGTTAATGTAATTGATATGAATTGAACCTAAAGTTCTTTATTCTCCACTCCCAAAAGTAATTTCTTCTTCACATTTTCCACATTTTCCACAGAAAAACATATTTTCCACTGTGGTTGCTTCAACCCAATAAAGAGGTACCACATTTTAGATCAAATACTAATGAATATTATACATCATTCAGCACTAGAGGTTTCTAGTACTGATTGAAAAATCGTTTTCTTTTTCTCTATCTTTTTAATATTTTCTGAAACATCTTCAACTAGAGCTTAAACTAATGATATTTTTACACGTGATAAAGTATCCTTTACAGATACCAAACTGCAACTTATTTCTTCATTTCCTAAAATAATTGGTTCCGCTTTTACATCATAAAATCTAACAAAGTGTTATACAGCTTCTTTATCTGAGTTTGTGTATTAGGTTCTGACATTGTCTTACTTAGGTGTCGTGGCATACTTTTGAATAGTAGTTTTGTTTTTCTTTTACTTAAGTTTAGAGTGTTTGAGATTTCCACTATAGCTTTATAACCGCCCATATAATGCAAAACATACCGCCCATAACATAACATAC